GGTGAGGTGTTGTGTAGTTGAAGCTATGGCGAGAGCGGTCTCTGGTGGAAGAATTTGCAGGACATTCGCAATTTTAGAATGTTTAAGAATTTGGAATAAAAAAGCAAGATGTGAAATTTAGACGTCCAAACAGTTGTTGGTACCCACTTACTTCCATAGTATTGAGAAAAAAAAATTACTATGGAAGTCAATGGGGAACAGAAACTATTTGGTTACCAACATTCTTCAGAATAATTTCTTTTGTTTTCAGCAGTATAAAGAAACTTTTAATAACATTTAATCCCTACTATATAGAATAGTAATTTGGCATGTTCAGTAATTAGGCTATCAAAAAATGTCCATCACTATTATTTTCTGAATACTTTATAAAAGAAACGTCTGAATGTTTGTCACTGTGTCAATCTCTCGAAGAATATATATATATATATATATATATATATATATATATAGTGATTTTAGTTTGGAGGGAAGAAGTCAAAAACAGTTGTAATTTAAATGGTTTTGATGGTAGACCAACCAAGCTTCCTAGGCAGGGATAGTAGTAGTTTTTCCACCATGGCCCATAAAACGATAATTCATTAAATATAATGAAATTTAAATTGGAATGCAATTTTCTAACATTATCATTATCAGTCGTGTATTTGGACATTTTGAATCAGTGTCATGAATTAAATCGCGCTTAAAAGGCATTCTCAATCTCAACGCAATTCTGAATGACAACTAGATGTGTAACTGCAGTCCAGTCCACATTTTCTATCATACAGTGGGGTTTTTGTGTGTAAACACGGAAGTCGCTGTACCCGAATCGCGTTGGCATTAGCTGTGTCCCAAAGTGAAGGGCACAGACTCCGAAGTGCATGAGACGCTCTGCCTTCGCAATATTTCCTAAATGTGCCAAGAGGGTCTAGCTGCAGCCTTGCACTTGCACTCTCAGACTTGCGTTCTCAGACTTGCGCTCTCAGACTTGCGTTCTCAGACTTGCGCTCTCAGACTTGCACTCTCAGACTTGCGCTCTCAGACACTTGCACTCTCAGACTTGCGCTCTCAGACACTTGCGCTCTCAGACTTGCACTCTCAGACTTGCGCTCTCAGACACTTGCACTCTCAGACTTGCATTCTCAGACTTCCGCTCTCAGACTTGCGCTCTCAGACTTGCGCTCTCAAACACTTGCGCTTCCGCTAGTGACATCACTTGCAGTCTTTTTTATTTTTTATTTTGTTCTGTTTATTTATTACTTTTTGTTTGAATCTCTCAACATTTTACAACAGTAGCCAGGTGGTGAAGACAAGAAGCATTGTCAAGGTAACATTTGGTCCGTCATTCCCTTCGCCAAGGGAGTTCCAAACGCTTATACCAGACAGTAATGCCCTACACCCTTCAAAGAACAAATTACAATGAGACTAGACCCGCAAATCCGCGGCCACAGAACAGCAGAATATGAACGCAATGCGCAGTCTCTCATTAAGCGTTTTCCTCCCGTAGAAAAACATAAACAGTTAACATGGCTTAATGTATTAAGATAGGCCTACATTAAGTGCAATTAAAAGATCAAATTCGATATATAGTTATTATTTAATGTACTACAAGGCAAGCAGATGGCCATGAACACAATGCGCAAACTTTCACTTGTCCTCCCATACAGCAAAACGCTTAATGTGGCATAATAACGGACTAAAATTATAAAGACAACTTAGTAGCCTATATGTCTTGTTGTTGACTCAAAGTATATACAGACCAACGAATATGAATGTGCATTATGAAATGCATTAAGTGATTTTAAAAGGATCAACTCCGTACAGGCAAGCAGACAAGCCCAGAACGCAATGTGTTAAATTGCACGTTAAACATTTTCCTCCCATAGACAATCATTATAAATAAAACACGTAATGTAGTTTAATGGACAAAGACAGTGATATAAAAGAGCTGTAGACAGTTTATTCTATATGGAAAAACGCTTAATGCGAAACTTTGCATGTTGCGTTTATTCTGGGCTCACCTGCTTGTCTGTACATATTAGTTATGTATTTTAATAATGAAGAGGAGCATATTGAGTTTGGTCTTTATTGTCTTAGTTCATTATGCCACATTATGCCACGTTTTGCGGTATAAGAGGAATACTATAGGCTATACATATTCATTATATTAATAAACTGTATATTGAATTTGATATTTTAATAGCATCTTAGTACATTAAGCCATATTAAGTGTTTCTGTTTTTCTACGGGAGGAAAACGAGAGACTTTGCGCATTGCGTTCATATTCTGCTGTGGCCACAGATTTGCGGGTCTTGTCTTTTTCTTCTACACATGACTTGCAGGACCCTGTACGTTACAGTACTTAATTAGTTTTAACCGTTCAAGCACCACAGCGTCTTGTCTCCATTGGCAACACCACGGATTTGCGGGTCTTGTCTTTTTCTTGCAGGACCCTGTATGTTATAGTACTAAATTAGTTGTAATTAGTTGTTAATCACCACCACAGCGTCTTGTCTCCATTGGCAACACGCAGGATTTGTGTCGATTGCAAGTGACATCGCAGGTAGCGGAGAGTGCAAGTGAAGATTGCAAGTGACATTGTAATTTAGTTCTTTGAAGGGTGTAGGGCATTACTTCGTAATTTAGTTTCTTTTTTCTTGTCTTCACCACCTGGCTACTGTTGTAAAATGTTGAGAGATTCAAACAAAAAATAATAAATAAATAGAAAAAAATGAAAAATAAAGACTGCAAGTGATGTCACTAGCGGAAGCGCAAGTGTCTGAGAGCGCAAGTGTCTGAGAGCGCAAGTCTGAGAG